ATTTGGCATATATTTGATGCTAACATGGTAGGAAAACAAAAACAACCTTTCTCTCAGAAAAAGAAAATGACATTGTGCTTGATAGAATTATTACTACTCTTTCAATTGATTCCTTATGTTATATTTTTCACATATCTGCACATCTCATAACATGGTATCCATAACTTACACCTGTGTTGCTATAATGTCATTGCTGTACTATTTTCACTTCCACAAAGTGAATTTCATTCCCAATAACTGCAGAAATCTGGTGACTTTTCGGGAAATGCCAGAAGTTTCCAATAAAATGCAATAAAATTAAAAATTTCTCAGTTACAGGAAGAGTAAGCATGGTCTCAGGAAATACTGTGTTTCTCCTTTCTCAGTATTGGAATAAAATAGATGGGCACTTAATAGGATATTCTTTCTTTCTCTTTAAATACTTTTTTAAAGAAGTACAGAGATAAAGCAGAAAATTAATTCCAGGAGAAATGACTAATGCATTTGTTATCATTCTAGCATAGTTTAACAGCTTCATCCAGAAAAATGTTACCTTAGGGCCAGCTATTAATAAACCCTCTCTGGACTGTGTCATGTTGTTTAACTTCATTGCAGAGATAATGGGGAACACTTTTTTTAATGCTTATAATCTTACTGCATTTCCTGTGTACTAGTTCTTCTGGGGCCTTAAATATGTCCAATAATTCCTCAGTGTTAACTGGAGCTAAAAAATGAAATTCAGAGAGAGAATGGTTTTATTTATTTATTTGACTTATCTATGGCTACAACCTTGTTTTTAAAATAATCAGTTTTGACACTCAGGTTATATTATGGCTAGATACCTCGGAGTAAGTGTAGTGGAACTTACTCCTGAGTAGACATGCTTGGCATCCATCTGTCTAAAAGGACTCATCAGAAACACCTGCATATAACTGGTTGATGTAAGAATTCGCTGATAGTTCATGCACCGTGCTGAAAGAGCAGCATTATGGAAGAAAGGAAGCAGGTGTACACAGAGGGCTTTTTGATTGGATTAAAGGTGTCAACAAACAGTCAAACCAGAGTAGCATTTGTGTTCATTAACTGTACATTCCCCTCTTTGCTCATTTTTCCTCTTGCTTCTGGTAGTTCAGGTGCTTACTTAGTCAGCTTTTTAACCAACTTTGCCCTTGGGTCTTTAAGAACAGCCTTGTGTCAGTCAGAAACGTAACAGGCAAAACTTTCCTTGTCTGAGGATAAAGTGATTGGAAAAAGGTTTCTTGATAACATATCAGGCTTTTATTACAGGTACCAGAGCAGAAGGGAAAAGGATACCTGTTCCTCAAGGTCATATGTGGGGAAACATTCATGCATGTATTTTGAACTGTTAAGGGGCCTAGAACAGG